TCCAAAACACAGTCAGAATCAGAATTGACTGGGGACAGCCAATAAGTTGGGGGAGGATGTGGTAAATAATACTGTGTTTCTACGCAGAAAAATATAAAAATTTCTCATTATCTCTTTATTCATTCAAGATATGGTAAAAATGACATCAAAAATGGAATCCTCAGGTAAAATAACCCCTAGTCACCCACTACAACCATACCCTTATCTCTTATAGTTTAGAAGTTACACAGATTTCAACCTGTCACGGGATATTTCTTGGATTCTTCATTCTAGCCATAGTCATTATGAATACAGGATGCATATTGCATACTGAATACCTTTGTAGTAAATTGAATACCTTTACGTTATTTTGAATCCCTTTGTATTAGTGATATTGCATGTATGCATCCCTTTGATCATACATATGCGTCCCTTTATTCATTCATATGCATCCCTTTGTAGTAGTATCTTTCAGCCTGTACCCTGGGGCCAAAATCCCTCACATTTGTCTATATAAGGAGGCCTCTGCCTGCCAGTTGTTCCCTCCATCATCCCACCAGGTGTCCATCATCCCACCAGTGGACCAGATCATCTCAACCACCCTTATAAATAAATCCATCTTACATATTATTTCATAACTACAAGTCATAGCCACATTACAATTTCAGAATTATATACATTGAAATACAGATTTAACACTTTCATCATCATCATAAACCAAAAGTGCCCTGAACCATATCCATCAACAACAACTTCATCCATATAACCAACAGTCAACAACATCTTTATACCCTCACACATATCAATCGGCAGCTTCATCTCGAACTTATCCCTATCACTATATATAAAATTGCCAAGCTAAGCTTGGTGGTCTTGTTATTCTGATAGTATAGAAGGGCAGAGCTTGCAACTCCAACATACCCTTCTCCATTCAGCAAAAGGGTTTCATAACCACTTTTGAGTCTTACAGCGGTCCCCTCAAAGTCCGAGAAAGCATCCAATTGTCTGACTCATCCATCACAGTCGATGGGGCTTCTTCACTGGGGCTCCTCGGCCGTTTTTTCTTAGCAGCTACCTTCCTTTTGTTGTCTTGAGTATACAAGTTCCACTTTGGAAATTTGACAAGCATATTGCAGGCACGGAGATGCTTGAAGTGAATGTTCTGATCCAGGGAGTACAATTGAAGAGCACAGTTGAGTTGATCCTCAGCGTTTGCTACACTCTGGGTAAATTGATCACATTGATCAACAAATACTTGGAATTTGTTGATCATGTGTTGCAAGAGCCCCCATTGTTTTTTGGTCCCATTGACTGGCCGTTGGGGACTGGGGATTACTTTGTGGTAAGCTGCTGTGACCCACTTCCAGAAAGTGTTTCTGTCCTGGTGAGTTCTGATTGTGGGATCCTCACTTATTCAAATCCAAGCTCGACATAGTTTGAAGTCCTTGGGCTCTGTGTAGTTGGGCACTTTCTTCTTTTTTGTAGTTGTTGGATCAAGATCGGGATCAACTGTTGGGGAGGTTTTATCCAAAGTGGATCAATGAGCATAGATAGAGCAATTGAAGTGAAGTAGAGACAACTCACTGTTTTCCTCATCCAAGTTTTCATTGTTGTCCGGATCTTTATTGCCAGCCATATGTGGATTGGTTCAATGGAGGTACAATTTTGGTGGGGTGTGTTGTATATAAAAAGGAGGGTTGATCGGGGGATATGTGGAGTACAAGAGGTTATGAAGTATCACAATATACCTCTGTGATAGGTGGATTGGAGGTCGGTTGCCAGTGCCTATATATCCTATATATAGGAAGGCTATAGACCCGGAGCTTTCTTTTCCTAGTTTAGGAATGCATGTTGTGTGACTAGGGCACAGCCATGTCACGCGCATCCATGGTCGTAGCCTGCTAGCTGGCTCAGACTGAGTCCATTGCGCACAGAAGCGCTAAAGAGGCCTCTGTGCCTCTCATGCTCCTTGGTTGTCAAGATAGGATAAAGAGCAGCGCCCCAGGGTCACTCGTCCTTCTATCCCCTTGACGATCCCCCAGCTAGGTCGACTAGACCTTTTCCCTATTAGCTCTTCCCGACACATCTCCCCCATTTTTCACACACCTCCCACCCACCCGTAGTGAAGGGGATAGTGAGTTGGATGACCTGTTAGTGAGAAAGGTGATCAAAACACCCTTTGGGAGCGGAGAGGTGGGCTTTGGGGTTGTATGCCTGAGTCCCCCCCCCCTGTTCTTTTCCTTTTTCCATGTCCTACTTTCCACAGCCTTCACCGGCCAGAGGGGGCTTGAGAAGGCTCAAGCCATTCCCCCTCTTCCTCCCAGACCCAAGCATGGCCTAAGTACACTGCCAGGAGGCAGCTTCTTAGACCATCTCCACCCGGGGAGGTAAACTGCGGTTATAAACCAAATTTACCTCCCCAAGCCCAAAATTCCCCTGCCACCGGGGGTGCTAAAGGGGAGGTAAATTTAGTTTTCCCCCCCTCGGGAGTTTGGCGTTGCTAGATGTGCAATCGCTATACCAACCCAAGTACCTCCCCAACCCAACGGTTTCACAGTTCAATCCTGGTGAAATGCGGAGTTCCCCCCCCCCCCTATTGACTAGCCTTTGACGCGCAAGGCATTGAGGATAGCAACCTGCGGTGGAAAATAATTTTTCCCAGGGTTGCTATCCGCACGCCGCAGCTCCCAAGCTGGTAAGTATACCAACTCGGATGCCTCTTTGGGGTGGAGATGGTCTTAGGCCATGCAAGGGTGTCGGGAAGGCTAACGAAAATGGATTTAGTGCCTCCGGTGTGGAACTGCTCAGCAAGTGAGTAAAGAGCTTGGAGGGGAAAAAATAGCTAAGAAGACTATGGAATAGTAGAATTAGTATTGGTGTGTGGGTGAGACTGCCCTCCTGTCTAGCTTGCGGGAAAGTTACACTAAGAAAAATAAGAGTGTGGCTTATTTCTAAATTTATCTTAGTGTTGATACTACTGTTATTGTTGCTTAAGAATACCCGTTGAAGAGTTAAGGAGTTTATGGGGTTTTCTGAGTAACAAGAGTTTCTAAGGGTTTCTCTGTTGAATCTGTTATAAATTCTCTCTGGTTCTCTGATCTGATAAACACTCTGGTTTCTCTGGGCTCTGATAACTGGTACACTTATTTCTCTAATTTCTTTCAAAGAGGTGAGAATGGATAAGCAATATTTCTGAATTACTTTTCTATGGCCAAAAATTGAGGTAAGGGAAGTTCAAGGGCTCTAATAATCTCTGGGCCTCTTAATCAAAGGGTGATGAAAGCTGAGTAATATCTCTTATTAATATTCTGTAGCTAGCATGAGGAGGGAAGAGGAAGACATGGGCCAGAAGAGCCTCTATTTATAGACAAATGGTTCTGCAGTACATGAGATTTTGGCCTAAACACAAGTGCGTCTGAGAAGGGTACTTCTAGAGTGGTTTTTACTACTCTGAGATGGCCCAATCTGATATGAATTGATCTCTAAGTGCCTTTCTAATACAAGAGGTTGTAAATCTACTATGTAAGGCCTATTCTTAGCTTAATTAATATGAGAATGGTATTCTTAGACTAATTAGTATAAGAGTTATTTTCTGGAACTAGTCTGTGAAGCACTTTTTGATCAGTAGCTTGATTTACTAGTCTAAGATGAATGTATTATAGTTCTACAGGTTATTTGTATAATTTTTATTTGTGAGAAATTGAATATCTTAAGCCTAGTTCATGAATTAATTAACTACAATTTAGCCCAGTAATATTTATGTGGTTTGTTTCCTAACCTACCCCCTTCCCTCTAGTATTTTAACTACTATGTGTTGAATTTTTGAGCTCTAGATCGGTTGAATTTGAGATTTTTGAGAAGAGGGCACAAAAAAGGTTAAGGACCTTTTTTGGGAATGGTTCACGAAAAAAGAATGAAAGAACCAATGAATTTTATTTCTTGTAGTTAGCCTGTTTTAAATAGACTAAATACAAAAGGTTAAAAATGTGGTTGAGGGAAATTGAATAAAAGATGAATTTGAATAAAAACTGAGAGGAAGGAATGAATGAGTTCATGGAAGAAACAGCCGGACAATTCTTCTCAGTCTCTTTTAGAAAAGCTAGCAAATTAATCATGAAAAAACAAACACACAACCACAAATGAATAAGAGGCGTTAATTCTTATCAATCAGTTTTTAAGGAATCAAATAGTGAAATGGAAAAAGAAGGAAATCAATCAATAAGACTAGAGTTGTCTGAAAATTGCCATGATGAGTTCTAATTAGCCTACAATAGAGCATAAGATTCAAGACAGAAAACAGCTGTGATTGAATATAATTCAGTCCAGATCAAGATGATTAAAGAAAGATAAGAGGAGAAAAAGTGAGTAAAAAGAGGGAGTGATTTGGGGAGGAGTAGCCAGAGAAGTTGAAAACTCAACACGCCCCCTCTACTCTGACCCAAAGAACCAAAGAGCTGTGAAACAAGTAGATGAAGCAGAGTTGAAGCGATAGCGAGATCGCACGAGTTTGTTGACAAGGGAGGAGAGCATTGAGCGAGGGGGATCGGAGCGAAGGAGGAGAGGAGTTGAGTGAGAAAGGAGCGAGTAGAGTTGAGGAAGTAGAGAGGGGAGATCGAAGCGAAATCGAGTTGAAGACGATTGAGGATGAAGCGAGGTAAGTCGGAGCGAGAAGGAGTTGTGTCAGGCGGTAGCGAGTGAATAGGAGCGAAGAGAAGATGGAGAGAAGTTGAGACAGAGCGAGGAGAGCGAGGGGAGTAAAGATCGAAGGAGAGGATCGGAGCGAAAGACAGAGCAAGGAGAGAGAGCGGAAGCCGGGGCGACGGAGGCAGAAGCGAGGGAAGATCGGAGCGAGGGTAGGTGAGAAAGAAGCGAGCGATGATTTTGGAGCGAAGAGGAGATGAAAAGACGGTGGTAGCGAGAGTCGGAGCGAAGAGGGGATTGGAGTTTGAGACAGGCCGTAGAGAATGAGTAGGAGTGAAGAGATCAAAGGAAGGATGCAGCGAGGAGTGATCGAAGCAAGATCACATTCCTTGGTTGTAGTCGTAACGGATCTCGTCAGCGTCAATGCGAGTACCGTCAGGGAGCGTACACCAGTTGGTGACTTCTTTGAGCTGGTTGTATTCATCGACAACAGTAAGATGAGCCGACTCGGTTTTGGGGGCCTTCTCTGGAAATTTCTTCCAGCAATTATGAGGACGATGGCCGGTCTTGCCGCAGTGAGTGCAGGCCATAGACTTGGAGGCGATAGCTTTGGTCATCATCGTGGCTTGATCGGAAGAGGAGGAAAAGGATTCCTTCTTGATGTTGTTCGAGATGGCGTAGGACTCGAGTCTTTTAACGGCCGATTCAAACGTTTCAGTAGCGAACCCCATAGCAATGATATCTCGGAACGATTGATATTGGCCTCGATGTAGCTTTCGGAGCATAATCATTATTTTAACTTGATCGTCTCTGAGAACATTAGCGAGGACTAGTCGTTGATTTGCTAGTCGTATGGCAGCGCAGAAGGAACCGACATCGGAGTATTCAAGGTCAAGAAAATGATCGAGGGCAGTCGAGCGGGCAACAAGATCAGATCCAGCGTATTTATTTTTGAGCAATTTCCACAAAGCTCGACCTTTGAACCGATCTTCTTCGGGCAAGGTGGTGCTGACAAGGGCGAGGTTGGCGGCATCGAGGTTCAGAACAATTTTCAAGTATCCTTTTTTATTGAGAACAGAATACTTGTTGAGTTCATCAGGGGTAGTTTTTTCGTCGATCTTGGTAAGTCCAGTGACGAGCTCCCGAGCTCCGATGTCTTCAAGTTTGGCTTCAATAGATACGACCCAGGTCGAATAGTTGTCTGAGGTGAGCAAGTACCGAGAGGAATCGAGTCGAGATTCGCTTTCCATGATGTGGGGTGGTTAGCAGTCTTCGACTGTTAATCGTGTTGAATTTTTGAGCTCTAGATCGGTTGAATTTGAGATTTTTGAGAAGAGGGCACAAAAAAGGTTAAGGACCTTTTTTGGGAATGGTTCACGAAAAAAGAATGAAAGAACCAATGAATTTTATTTCTTGTAGTTAGCCTGTTTTAAATAGACTAAATACAAAAGGTTAAAAATGTGGTTGAGGGAAATTGAATAAAAGATGAATTTGAATAAAAACTGAGAGGAAGGAATGAATGAGTTCATGGAAGAAACAGCCGGACAATTCTTCTCAGTCTCTTTTAGAAAAGCTAGCAAATTAATCATGAAAAAACAAACACACAACCACAAATGAATAAGAGGCGTTAATTCTTATCAATCAGTTTTTAAGGAATCAAATAGTGAAATGGAAAAAGAAGGAAATCAATCAATAAGACTAGAGTTGTCTGAAAATTGCCATGATGAGTTCTAATTAGCCTACAATAGAGCATAAGATTCAAGACAGAAAACAGCTGTGATTGAATATAATTCAGTCCAGATCAAGATGATTAAAGAAAGATAAGAGGAGAAAAAGTGAGTAAAAAGAGGGAGTGATTTGGGGAGGAGCAGCCAGAGAAGTTGAAAACTCAACACTATGTATATGTAATAAAGTTTTTTTAATTATGGGCTATGGGTTTGATTATTCTCACCACACCGGTGGAAGGGAAAAATCAGCTGGGGGGGACTAAATCAGGTTTAGTCACGCGGTTTAGTCCCCACTGGTGGAGATGCTCTAAGACCCTAAATTAGAGACTGAGAGCATCTACACCGCGGTCCGTATTTTCGGGTCCCTATTGATCAAAAATACGGACTTGGGAATGCAGATAGGGACTCGCAGACTTGCTGTGCCACACCGGGCAGTCTGTAAATCAACATGACATGCAAGTATTGGTGCGGTGTTGGCAAGATGTTACTTGAGGTTGTGGTGTGTGGTGTGTGACATTTACATTGAGGTGTGCTGTGAGTGCACAATCCTTGGTCCCTATCCAATCCCTATTCCCTGGATCCAGGGTCTGGAGAGGGACCAAGGATGAAATCCATAAGAGCATCTCCACCGCGGTCCCTAAATCGGGTCCCTATACCGCTTTTAGGGACCGCAGCCCAAAAAACACCTCCCACCGCAGTCCCCATTGTTGTCTGTATTTTACGGTTTTGATCATCGGTCCCTCTCCAGACCCTGGATCCAAGGGTTGGCTAGGGACACTGATATTCACAAGGATCACACACAACTTGTGTGTTTCCCCTGTGAAACATCCTTCCATCAACAACTCCACCTCCCCCGATACCCCCTATGTTCTAGTCTGGATACAGCAGCCAAATACAGTATCCAACAACCAACCTCTCCCCATGGCAACACCCACACCCCAATCAATTATGGATCCAAGTCTGTTATCCGCATCTGACATCACTGTTGTTCAAGCTCCCGATCTCAGTACCATATCCACATCAGACATATCCACATTGGATATCACTATTGTTCCAGCTCGACAACCCCCCAAGAGGCCATCCAAACCACAAGGCAAGAAGGCCGCCATGACCAACCCTGATACTGCGGCCAATCAAACCTCCAATAGTGCTACCAATACCGCTTCCAAGACTTCCAACACAACCGTTGAGCCAGAGGACGACGCGGAAAAAAAAAGGGCGCTCCCAAACGTACCTTGAACACGGAAACCTACAGTTGTGTAACTCTTGGCTCGAGATCAGCGAGGATCCCAAGAAAGGCACCAACCAGACCTTTAACGCTTTCTGGGAGGCCATCGCAAGGCACTACGCAACTCAAATTCCCAACGCCCCGCGAACAGCCAAAAGCATCAAGAATCACTGGAGTGACAAGATTCAGAAGGAAGTGAACCAATTTGTCAGTTGTGTTAATCAAGTTCAACAGGCGAATCCCAGCGGGACAAATTCGGCCAACCGACTCACCATGGCAATGTCGATGTATTCAAAATTATATGAAAAGCCCTTCACTATGCTCGGTTGCTATGAGATTCTCATCACATCACCGAAATGGAACGACTACTCACGTGGCCTTGCCAAAAAAAGAGAATCAACGTCTTCAGCTGCAAACAAACGCAAGGCGCCCGACAGCTCTTCAACCAACATACCCAGCACCAATTCTACAGCTACAGATGTTTCAAACGGTGGTCCAGGGGGGGATTCTTCTAGCGATGAAACTTGCGGCCCTCCAACTCGCCCGATCGGCCGTAAACGGGCTAAATGCGACCAAGCGACCAAATTAGCAGCCAAAAAAACCCAGGAGAGCCTGAAGAAGATGGCTCAGGCTCACTCTGACATCGCGGAAGTTGCGAAGAAGCAAAGTGGCTTCCTGGACGCTCAACAGGCCGCGATGAATCGATTGGTCGATGAGGCGATTATGTGCAAGGACCTCTCTGGAGCAAGCAAGATGATGAAGAGGTATTACACAATTCAGCAATCAAAAATCATGGCGAGATTGGAGTTGGAGCAATCTGCTTCAACCGATTCGACTAGCATTCAAGCTCCATTGACCACCAACACTTCTAGCATGCCAGCTGAAACAAATACCGTAGTTGAATGATTATGTTCGTTCTCAGTCTTTCTCTCATTGCCCAGACATGGTCAAATGCGCTCAAGCTTATGAAATTTTTACTTTTTTTATTTTTTATGTCTTACAGTTTGATTCTTTTCCTTTTTCTTTTTTATCAACCTCGGCCTTGTGGTCTTATGAATACATGTTTTTCTGTTTCTTTTGATCGGCCTCACTGATGGATCCTGTTCTATCTCTATCAATCCTGTTCTATCTCTATTGATCTCAGCCTTGATGTCTATCAATCTCCTTTCATCCTTTCCATACATGTTTGAATCGATGTCAATTCTTCCTCTCAAGTGATCAATCAGAGTATTCTATAGTCGCGAGTAAAGATTTAATTGGCCAAAACAAAGCAATTGAAAAGCCAAAACATGAGACATTGAGGAACGAGTGAGTGAAAAACAATAGCGAATGATATTAAGAAACAAGTGGTGAAAAACAAAAGTGATTGATCAAAAATGACCAAGAAGAGTAGTAAGAAACAATAAATCAGAAACAAAAGAAAGAAGGAAAACAAGACTGGAAAAGCAAAAGAAAAAATCAATTACTCAGAATTGGACCCTTCTTCATCCAATTCACTCGAGTCGTCCACATAGGGAAGGGGTTCCTCCTCCTCGCTGATATCCTCCTCGAGTTGTCCCTTTCGCATCCAAAGATGAGAAATGAGATCGTCTCGTAGCGCAAAATGAATCTCAGAATCCCTCATTGCACGGTAGTTCCGAATAAAAACCGAAAGATCTCCTGATTGTGCTGCATCAGGCCAAGTAGTTTCTGAATGAGATATCCGATCATAGATATGGTCATGAGGAGCATCTCGCTCATCCTCCACAATCATGTTGTGGAGGATTATGCAAGCTCTCATAACTTTCTGAAGCTTTTGATGGCTCCATGAGAGTGCTGGCCTTGCGACAATAGCAAACTGCGCTTGAAGAACACCAAATCCTCTCTCAACATCTTTCCTCGCTTTTTCCTGCATTTTTGCAAAGTACTGTTGTGTTAAAACAAACACACAATCAGAATTGCAGCAGGTAGAACCAACAAAATTAGGTGGGAAAGCCACATACCTTCCGTTGAAGCCCCTGAGGTTTTGAAATCGTCTTGATCAATGTAGACCAATTGGGATATATACCATCGGCGAGATAGTAGCCTTGGTTATACCTATTTCCATTAACGACGTATTCACACCGGGGAGTATTTCCATTCAGAAGATTTTGGAACAGAGGTAGAGATTGTTCGTTCGGACCTGTTGGGGGGTACCTGCCACACGTCAAAACACTCCCTCCACAACCTCAGACACCACTGATGCTTCCAGAGGGTTCAGTAATGATGAAGGTTTAGTACTGGTCCCCCCACTGGTATTTATGGTGGCTGTTGATGTGGAGGGCTTGATCTGAAGTGTGGCAGGTACCCCCCAACAGGACCGAACAAACGATCTCTAAACAGAGGCGAGGCATTGAGTACATTCTTGTCGTTATGAGAGCCCGGCATTCCAAAGAACGCATGCCAGAACCATAAATCTTCAGATACAACGGCTTCTAGCACAAGCATTGGGACCTGTATACATTAAGTGTTTGTCAATAAAGGAAGATCATGTTGAATAAATAGTTGAGTAAATACCTTTTCTTTACCCTGGTACTGCCCCTTCCAACCGGTTGGGCAGTTCTTCCACTCCCAATGCATACAATCCAGGGAGCCAAGCATCCCAGGAAAGCCTCTTTCTTTGGAATTGAATAGCAATCGTTTTGTGTCGGCCTCGTTTGGTGATCTCAGATATTCATCCCCATACAGGTTAATAACAGCTTCAGTGAAATGATCGAGGCTCTCCAGCGAAGTTGATTTGGCAATACGTAGGTACTTGTCGTTTGCATCACCGGCCCCACCATAGGCTAGAATTTGAAGTGCCGAAGTGATCTTTTGAATGGGATACAATCCAGGTTTCCCTATAGCATTACACTTCCGAACGAAGTAATTATCGTGCTCCGTGACATTGTTGACTATCCTCAGAAAAAGGCTTTGATGCATTCGGAATTGGCGCCAAAATTGGTAGTCGTTGTATCGTGCCCGCGGCGTTTCAGAAAAGTAATCCTTGGTCAATTGCTCGTATCCAGCCTCAAAATCACAATCGATATTAGCGGCACGTCCTTTTCTTGATCCACTGTGCTTTTGTCGCCTTGCTGCCTCCTCTTGTTCTTGTTCTTGTTGAAGCTGATATTGAATTGCTGCCGCGCCACCTTGAAGAATTGCCAGTTGACTTTGGGTTGAAGTGGCGAGAACAGTTGATTGGGCGGAGAGCATCGTCTGTAGGAGGGAAAGCCGGTCCATAGCTATTGAAAGAAATCTGGAGGAATATCCGGGGGAGGGCGGGGTGCAGATAGCGACCCAACTTGATGGTCACTTGGGACCAGCGGTGTGTGCCGCAGCACCTCGGGTCTGCAAAGCTGGTACTGCGGTCCCCAAATGCAAGGTTTTAGGGACCCGATTTAGGGACCGCGGTGGAGATGCTCTAAAATACGGATGACGATGGGGACCGCGGTGGGCGGTGTTTTTTGGGCCGCGGTCCCTAAATGCGGGATAGGGACCCGATTTAGGGACCGCGGTGGAGATGCTCTGAGATGGTTTCACCTCGAGTTTTGTCAAACTGGCTTCCACTCGGACTGCGCCAAACCCCGCTCAAGATCCCACACACAATGTTCTTTGAAAATGGGCTCTTTGAAACAGGAGAAGGTCTCAGTCTCTTTTTAACTCCATCCAGTCCACTTGAAACATAACTTCATATCCCGCACTGGATGTGCAGTAAAATAAACCTGGATATGTAGTATTTTTATTATTTTTTTTGTTCACCTCTTCACACCATTTTTTTTTAAAAAAAACACTGAATATCCAGTTTTTTTTACTCCATATCCAGTACTGGATATGAGGTAGTGTTGAAAGTGGTCATTGATACTTTCTTTTGTATTTCACTGACCCGGTACAGCTGCTCGATCTTGCACCACAGGGGGTTCGCCGCTAAAACATTCACCACTAGCATCATCAAAATAGTCAATGAGAAACAATTCTGTTCGCAGGTGTGTAGTTGTACTCTGCATCGGTGTGACGACGCATTGGAGATTCAAAATATAAAAGTTGAACTGCTCGCCACTCACAGGACTCTATCCTGGAAGTTTCTCTGCTAATCTTCACGTTCACTATGCTCATTCGTACCATCTTGATACCGGGCTGTCGTTTGTGCCGCTTTCTGTGGTCTTTTACAAATATTTTATCTACAACTTCAGTAGACCTAAACGCCGCAGAGTGGAGCACGAGTCCGATCGAACATCCAGAAGAGTTTGCAAAAGAGCCCTTGGGGGACGACTTGTCGTCAATTCAGACACCATGTGTTCCGGGTAGAGCTGGTCTAGAACAGTCATGGAATGGATGGCAAAATCAATTTCGTCCCATGTTAGGGCCAAGCGTTCCATGTAATGACAATGTTAAGCCTCACACGGTTTCAGGCCAGTCTTTCGGTAACGAGCCGTTTTCTGATGTAGTAAGCAGCATACGCAAAGGAAAATACGCTCCAGGACAAGGACCTACCTTTGCCTTATCTTCAAATGCGCAGGGGCTATCAACGGCCTCCACTTACAGTAAGCCACTTTGTTTTCCTCATAACTATTTTCTAGTGAAGTAAAAATAACAAGCAACGTAACCAGGCCAAAATATCGGTCATGAGCCGTTTCTCAATATAGGCAGCAGCATTAGCCAGGGGAAAACCGCAGCAAGGCAAAATGCGCCGTTTACTCCACTTTCTCACACTCCTAGTTCATCAAAGTTACATGATGAAAGCCGCAGGACTTCCACTTCCAGTAAGTTACTTTTCGTTCTCCTCGCAAGACTCCAGAGCCATAACGTTGGTAAATTGAACGATTCTGCTTGAACAAACTGCTAGCTCATGACCAACCTTTTGATGAAGATAAGGATGTTGAATCAGCCGATACCGGCAAAAAATTGATGACGCCAATAAGTCAAATCATCCCGAAAACCAAGAAACAAAAAGGTTAGTAAATCTACCTTGCTTGTGCTATTTCAATACAATTGCGCTGAAGTTTGAATTTCTCAACAGTTCGTGAGCTATCTAATGCTAAAGCTGCCTCAAGACACCATGATTTGGATTCCATGATTGCTGGGTTGCCCAAGGGAAAAGCAAAGACGAGCACTGCTGCAATATATCTGGCTCAGCAGGAAGAGGCAAATCGCTACATTCCTGGAGACTCTATTCTTCAGGGATATACTCAAATCAAGCTACTTAGAACATACTTCGATAAATTCTCAGCCACACTTCGTTCTCCAGAACATAACCTTGATTCGCTTCAGTTCATCCTTAAAATCCCAGATTTATCTGCTGGAATGTTTGGACAGCTCAAAGATAAGAATAGATTTATAATCAGGGTACTGATGTCTGGGGAGAGTGAATTACCAAATAGATCTCAACCACAGTCAATCGTGAATTTGGAAGACTCTTACTACTATTTAATCAAATGGATGTATGTTCTTCACGAAGAGCGATTGAACAAACTCGAAATTCCAACACTTGCATTCAGGGCGCAGCACGAGGCGATGTTAAACTGGCTAGACAAACTAATCTTCGGATGCGATGACCTTGTTCCAATTTGGGGGGCTAGAAAAGAAATCAGAAGGAAGAGCGATGATGAGCCATTTGATGAAAGTCAGATTAAGTTAATAAATTACATTTCCCACCATTCCGAAATGGAATTACTTGCGGGATCTGTTGCTAGTGATCTGATCAATTCCTTTCAAACAGAAAATTCGAGTGAGTTTCATTCTTTTAGTGATAAGAAAATGTTGAGCGGATCGCTCATTCACTATAATTTCTTTTTGAATATTTGAACGGAATGCTACTTGTATCTCCTGAAAATGCATCAATCATAATTCAGAAGATCGCCTAAACCACCTGAGAAATTTCCCTGATTTCACCACACTTTCAGTTGATACTAATTTCAAAAATGATTTGGACTACTTATCAAAACTTTTCACGACTTCGCGCATCTGCAGAATCAAAGCATGGATTTTAAAAGCTGAATATTTTGCCACAGTATTCGAATCAGATTTAATGGAAATACTTCAAAGAAACCATCACCAGACAGTCACAAGCATCCATCCTAAATTACCAATATCACTTCACTTTATCAATAAAGAATCAAATGTTCAGCTTCTGTGTATCCTTAACAAATATAATACAGTACAAATGAATCGAAGATACTTAGGTGAAAGGTTAAAGAAACTGATTAGAGAAGTCTGTTACCATCTTATGAAAACTATTAGTATTCTACGATTGAATAAAACCCAATTTGATAAGAAAATCACAGATTTTTTTCATTGGCTTTCAGGAATCATCTTGAATCCCACATCTGAAGAAGTTGTCCCTCTGATTGGGTTTATTAAAATAAATAATGATCTGGCACCCTGGGAGGATTTTCTCAAGGGAAGTATGGCAATATATCAGAAAGTTCAATTGCAATTGATCCAATATTTTTACAAAGAAGAGGAACCCAACATTTTGCAAAAAACAGTGGAATTTGTTCTGAATGCATGGTATCAAGAGTATGATTTAGATAACCTTATGAGACTCCACTGATATTCACAAGGATCACACACAACTTGTGTGTTTCCCCTGTGAAACATCCTTCCATCAACAACTCCACCTCCCCCGATACCCCCTATGTTCTAGTCTGGATACAGCAGCCAAATACAGTATCCAACAACCAACCTCTCCCCATGGCAACACCCACACCCCAATCAATTATGGATCCAAGTCTGTTATCCGCATCTGACATCACTGTTGTTCAAGCTCCCGATCTCAGTACCATATCCACATCAGACATATCCACATTGGATATCACTATTGTTCCAGCTCGACAACCCCCCAAGAGGCCATCCAAACCACAAGGCAAGAAGGCCGCCATGACCAACCCTGATACTGCGGCCAATCAAACCTCCAATAGTGCTACCAATACCGCTTCCAAGACTTCCAACACAACCGTTGAGCCAGAGGACGACGCGGAAAAAAAAAGGGCGCTCCCAAACGTACCTTGAACACGGAAACCTACAGTTGTGTAACTCTTGGCTCGAGATCAGCGAGGATCCCAAGAAAGGCACCAACCAGACCTTTAACGCTTTCTGGGAGGCCATCGCAAGGCACTACGCAACTCAAATTCCCAACGCCCCGCGAACAGCCAAAAGCATCAAGAATCACTGGAGTGACAAGATTCAGAAGGAAGTGAACCAATTTGTCAGTTGTGTTAATCAAGTTCAACAGGCGAATCCCAGCGGGACAAATTCGGCCAACCGACTCACCATGGCAATGTCGATGTATTCAAAATTATATGAAAAGCCCTTCACTATGCTCGGTTGCTATGAGATTCTCATCACATCACCGAAATGGAACGACTACTCACGTGGCCTTGCCAAAAAAAGAGAATCAACGTCTTCAGCTGCAAACAAACGCAAGGCGCCCGACAGCTCTTCAACCAACATACCCAGCACCAATTCTACAGCTACAGATGTTTCAAACGGTGGTCCAGGGGGGGATTCTTGTAGCGATGAAACTTGCGGCCCTCCAACTCGCCCGATCGGCCGTAAACGGGCTAAATGCGACCAAGCGACCAAATTAGCAGCCAAAAAAACCCAGGAGAGCCTGAAGAAGATGGCTCAGGCTCACTCTGACATCGCGGAAGTTGCGAAGAAGCAAAGTGGCTTCCTGGACGCTCAACAGGCCGCGATGAATCGATTGGTCGATGAGGCGATTATGTGCAAGGACCTCTCTGGAGCAAGCAAGATGATGAAGAGGTATTACACAATTCAGCAATCAAAAATCATGGCGAGATTGGAGTTGGAGCAATCTGCTTCAACCGATTCGACTAGCATTCAAGCTCCATTGACCACCAACACTTCTAGCATGCCAGCTGAAACAAATACCGTAGTTGAATGATTATGTTCGTTCTCAGTCTTTCTCTCATTGCCCAGACATGGTCAAATGCGCTCAAGCTTATGAAATTTTTACTTTTTTTATTTTTTATGTCTTACAGTTTGATTCTTTTCCTTTTTCTTTTTTATCAACCTCGGCCTTGTGGTCTTATGAATACATGTTTTTCTGTTTCTTTTGATCGGCCTCACTGATGGATCCTGTTCTATCTCTATTGATCTCAGCCTTGATGTCTATCAATCTCCTTTCATCCTTTCCATACATGTTTGAATCGATGTCAATTCTTCCTCTCAAGTGATCAATCAGAGTATTCTATAGTCGCGAGTAAAGATTTAATTGGCCAAAACAAAGCAATTGAAAAGCCAAAACATGAGACATTGAGGAACGAGTGAGTGAAAAACAATAGCGAATGATATTAAGAAACAAGTGGTGAAAAACAAAAGTGATTGATCAAAAATGACCAAGAAGAGTAGTAAGAAACAATAAATCAGAAACAAAAGAAAGAAGGAAAACAAGACTGGAAAAGCAAAAGAAAAAATCAATTACTCAGAATTGGACCCTTCTTCATCCAATTCACTCGAGTCGTCCACATAGGGAAGGGGTTCCTCCTCCTCGCTGATATCCTCCTCGAGTTGTCCCTTTCGCGTCCAAAGATGAGAAATGAGATCGTCTCGTAGCGCAAAATGAATCTCAGAATCCCTCATTGCACGGTAGTTCCGAATAAAAACCGAAAGATCTCCTGATTGTGCTGCATCAGGCCAAGTAGTTTCTGAATGAGATATCCGATCATAGATATGGTCATGAGGAGCATCTCGCTCATCCTCCACAATCATGTTGTGGAGGATTATGCAAGCTCTCATAACTTTCTGAAGCTTTTGATGGCTCCATGAGAGTGCTGGCCTTGCGACAATAGCAAACTGCGCTTGAAGAACACCAAATCCTCTCTCAACATCTTTCCTCGCTTTTTCCTGCATTTTTGCAAAGTACTGTTGTGTTAAAACAAACACACAATCAGAATTGCAGCAGGTAGAACCAACAAAATTAGGTGGGAAAGCCACATACCTTCCGTTGAAGCCCCTGAGGTTTTGAAATCGTCTTGATCAATGTAGACCAATTGGGATATATACCATCGGCGAGATAGTAGCCTTGGTTATACCTATTTCCATTAACGACGTATTCACACCGGGGAGTATTTCCATTCAGAAGATTTTGGAACAGAGGTAGAGATTGTTCGTTCGGACCTGTTGGGGGGTACCTGCCACACGTCAAAACTGTCAGCCTATGTGATGCCAAGACACGTGTCCTCTAGCTACACAAGGTGCAAAAAGTAAGAGTTTTTATGGCAAAAACTCTGGGATAGAACTGGTACAGGTAATTCAAAAGAATTACGTGGAATTTATGGATTAAATCCAAAAAGTGGCCAATTTATATTAATAAAATTAATATAAATTAAACCAGAGGGGCCTGATAAATCAGGGGTGGTTTAATCCCTCTAAGGTATCGTGCAAAAAGCAGAGGATTTAGGTACCTGATACACTGGGGCCTGTAGCAGGTGTGGTTTAAATCCCAGGAGATAATTTTTTAGGGGAAAATCTTCAAGAAAGGGTTATTACTCACTAGTAATAATCCAAAGGGGTCTTGAGGATCTTCAGAATTGAAACTGGACAGTTGGGAGCGCTCAGAAAGGTTGATTTTGGGTGCTGGGTGATAACTGGGGAGTTTCTTGAGGGTTCTTGAGGCTTTAATAACAGCAATTATAGTAGTAACTAGGCTAATTACAAGTGTAGGGGACTTGGAAACGGTAAGTAAATTTCTATAAGGTATTTTAAAGCTGGAGGATCACTATTTGGGCGGTCAGAGGGCCCTTTAAATACCTGTGGAAGGCCTCAGGGGTTGCTCAGGGGAGCTTAGTAGGACTTGGGGGCGCTTTTGGGCCCATTTTGGCCCACATGGTGATGTAACCAGGGCTGGAACCTTGGGGATAATATTCCAGAAGCTCCAAGGGGTCATGCACTAAATTATTACAGCCAATAATGTCCCATGGGAACCAGTGGATAGGGGCTACTCTGCTCGTGGAGCAGGTTCCTTGGAAATGGGCCACAGAATATTCCAGAGGTGTCTTCTGAGGCTTGCTACACGTGTTACCCACTGGAATATGGTTACTGTAGTATTTTCATGGATATTCTAGCTTGTTCACATTCTTATTACACGTGTGGGGGCTTTGTTGCCACGTGCAATGGGGATTCTGGGGCTTTTGTGGCCCAATCCTTGGATACTGGTGCGCAGCATGACTACGTGGCGCATGGGCTTGGAGACAGGACTCCACACTGCTCTATCTTCTAAACCGTGCACAATACTCCAATTCTGAGACTGGATTTGGAGTATATGCATTATGCATTATGCAGAAGTGTCACAGTACCCGTGATCTGGGGGTACCTGTTAATTATTCATGCTTGTATTACAGGATGAAGGAGTTAGAATTTGGGGTACCTTTGGCTGAGGTACCCTAGGTTAAATTGCATGCTGATTCAGAATCTGCAATAACATTCAAGGTTTTGTTTATACTTTTTAAGTTATTCATTTATTTTATATATTTTTTATCTTATTTACATAAGTAATATTGTTTCTTTTACTTATGTAATAATTTTAATTTATACTTAGATTTTTTATGTGATTTATTATTCTTATTTGCTGTGACAGGTTGTCTCTGCCATAGTAGCAAGCTGACATTCCCTACCCCTAAGATGAGTTTACTCATAAAAAGGAAATAGTAGATGAGAGAGAGAAAACAATTTTGGGCTACCACTTTTTAGGAGGTTCTTTTGGAAGCTC